CGCCCTAATCCCCGAACCCTAAACTCCCAAACCCTAAACCCTAAACCTAAACCCTAAACCCTAAACCCTAAACGCTAAACCCTAAACCCTAAACCCTAAACCCTAAACCCCCAACTCTAGCTCCGAAACCCTCGGCCTGCGCAGCATCTCCAACAAACTTCAACATCGGAGCCTTGGAACGTCCATCTCGAAAGCTGAAGCAGAAGCACAGAGGTGCTACAAGGGTTCGGGTTTAGGGTTTAGGGTTTAGGGTTTAGGGTTTAGGGTTTAGGGTTTAGGGTTTAGGGTTTAGGGTTTATTGTTTAGGGTCTAGAGGTGCTACAAGGGTTCGGGCTCAGGGCTTCGGGTTAGTATAAGGGGGAACTTTTCGGATATGTTCAATTGGCGCTTAAGATTTAGGGAAGCGGAAACACACTAGGCGCACCCCCAATGCAGGGACTCAATAATTGGAATTGGGTCGAGGGTGTTTTAGGAATTGGCATGGGTGGGGGGGGGTTCGCGGTATATTCAACTATATAATTTACTTGTTTTCTGTATAGGGACCACAATTAAGGGCGGCACCCGTGCTAATTAATCATCAAGACCCTTATACTTATATGTCTGTACTAAATGCGGGTATTCGACACTTCAACATGGCAGAAGCGATGATAAAGGTTCATATTAACTTATGTTTATAGGGATTAGAGTTCACGGGTTGTAGGGTTTTAGTAAAGCCAAGCATCTGCATCCAGCTGTGCCTTGCAGGAAAAACACTTGGGGTGGAATGGCATGCTCTCAACGCGCCCTCGCTTGATCCGCAACTTGGCAACCGAAAGATCTCAAAACCCGAAGATCCCTCAGCCCTAAACCCTAATCTACCCCGAAACCCAAAACCCTAATCTACCTGGGTCAGGTTTAGTATGCCTCCCCCGCCCCCCGCCCCCCACCCCCCATATTCCCCAAACTCCGTGCCTGCGACCATTCGGAGTCCTGGCTGAAAATCCACCGGCGCACGGAGTCCTGGACGGCGAGTGGATCTGAGGCTTTGACAGATTTGGGTAGTTGAGGTGCTTGTCTCCTTAGGCAACATAACTTGAGGCCAGGGAATGAATGCATCGAAATACAGCAGTCCTGTAGAATCGTCAGTCTCAGATCAGGAGCGGTTTAGGGTTTTCGGGACGTTTCGGGTTTAGGGTGCACCGCCACGGTCAAAGTGAGCATTGCCTGTGTGTGCGGTGTGTAACCCTCAACTATAAACTATAAACCCTCAACCGCGTTTCTGTCCTGCGGTCGGAGAAGGTTCAGGGAGCAAGGTGGAGGACTTCGGCTGATGCGCAACTGAAGTTGTTCACTTTCAATACCACGATAAGCTGAGAATGCAACCCTAACCTCCCAGGTACCTACTATATAGCGTACTAGAGCCCTAGGGCCCTATATAGTAGGTACCTGGGGGTTTAGGGCAAGGTCCTCTGGGCAGCTTGCATCGACATCCGCCATCCTCAGATACATGTCCAACCTCAGCCCTCCCTTCTGCGAACAAATGGGAGTTTCCGAAAATCAGGGGTACCTTATTTAGGGGTCCTTATCATAAGGATCCTACCATTTAGGGTACTATATTAGGGTCCCCTATTTTCGGAAACCCCCAAATATTGCGAAAGAGGCGCCTCTGCAAACATAAGGGAGCTGTCCCAACCCACTGTATTCCTGCGGAAAGCCTCTGTAGTACTACCCTAACTCTAAACCCTCAACCCCGAACCGCTGAACCCCCCCCCCTCCGCAATACCTCAAAGCCGATACTTGTTTCGTGCTCATAACGAGCAGGACCCTAAAAGGGGAACCCACTGAGACCCCTCAAGCCCTGAAGTTTAGGGTTTAGGGTCTAGGGTTTAGTAAGACTTGAAGGTTTGATGCTTCCAGAGTGTAGGGTTAAAGAGAAAAAGCAACGCTGCGGTAATGGTCGTGCTTGTAGCGGCTTGACAGGTCATCATCACCGGGGTCTACTATGGCGGTAATGTGGGGGCCTGATTAATTAGAAGGGGGTTTTGGGGTACATTATACTATAATTCTAAAAGAAGCCCCCAAAATAGTATAGGTAATTATGAGGGCCCCTATATTAGTGGTGGCAGGGGCAATTCAGACTGGCCAGTCTCTTGGATCTTTATCGACCATCGTAGTCGAATGGGCTTTTGGCTATTTCTCGTTCTGTAAGCTACGAAGGCCACACCTTCTGAACTTCCGGGCTCTACACCCTAAACCCTAAAAGGCCATACACCCTAAACCCTACACCCTGAAAGGCCCCTAATCTGCGCGCTGCAGCAGAAGGTCCACGCTAGTGCGCCCTCATCCGCTTTCAGCAGCGTTATCTCCTCTGACCAGAGCCGCCTCACCGGATCACGGGTTTATGGTTGTCTTCTTTTTGTAGTTATCATCAGTAGTGTTATGCTCATTCTTGTTCATATCACTACTACTACGTTATTCCGACTACTATTAGAAGCATTGTTTGCATTATTACTACTACGATTACGACCATTCCTCTGATAAAATATTGGGACGGTAGTGTTGGCACACGGCTTCCGGAGATGCGTACCTTTTCGGCGCTACTTCCGAGGCACTCTGCCTGAACTCGTCTTCACTGACATGCCATATAGGGGCCTTAATAATTGGAACAGGGTTTTGGGATCTATTATACTATAATCACAATAAGGAACCCCCCCAACATAGTATCATTGGTAATAATTTTAAGCCCCTAAATTACAAAGACCGCTGGAGCTGTGCCATGGAGTTACTTGCAGTGATGCGATGGCGACATGTCTGAAGAGACGAAGCTTCCATCGCCAAGGCGTATAACCCTAACCTCCGAGGTACCTACTAGGTAGGGTACTAGAGCCCCTAGGGCCCTATATAGTAGGTACCTGGGGGGTTAGGGTAACTTGTGCCAACTGCACTCTTAGCAAACGATGTATCGTGGTCATGGCCAGTGTTATCGGGAGTGCCATCGCGAGTGTCAGCCTTTGTGAATAGGAGTACTATGTGTACTACTCACCATCACGTCCCGGCATGAAAGACTGCCTTGTAAGACCCCCTCAGAGCCCAAATGAAACCCACAGCAGTTATTGTAGGGACCTTAATGATTAGAAGAGGGTCTTGGGGTACGCCAGACTTTAATTCGGATAAGGAACCCTAAAAGATAGTAGGATAGTCTTTATGCTTATTTCGATCCCTATATCTTGTTATAACTATAACTACGATAGGGTAGTATTATCGTGTATTCGTTCTATACTATTGTATACAGGTTCTTCGGCTCTTCAAGCCTAAACAACAAAACAACCGCAAGCCCTATCGCTCGTTCTCCTTTCGGCCTGAGGTATTCGTTTTCATCGATCAGCTTCTTGAAGCAAACGTGCATGAGAAGCCAATCCTGGGCTGATCGAAATGCATTCAAGCAGGGCTTAAAGCATGGGGTCTACATCTGTATGTACATACATCTATATCAGGGGTTTAGGGGTGAGGGTTTAGGGTTCCTGTATGTACATCTATATCCATTGGGGTTCAGAGTACAAAGTTTACGATTATGGGTGTTAAGGCTCCGTGTGTAGGGTCCACATGCGCACATTGGACAAATCAATGGTCGGGTACGAAGACATGAGGGTTTAGGGTTTAGGGTTTAGGGTTTAGGGTTTAGGGTTGAGGATGCTGATCCGTTGGCCCTTTTCAACCCTAAACCCTGAATCCGCCTAAGCCCGAAAAAAACCCAAAACCCACCCACCCCTCCCCCCCTCAAAAAAAAAAACTCTAAGCCCTAAACCACCCTAACCCTAAGCCCTAAACCCGAAGCCCTAAACCCTAAACCTTAAACCCTAAACCCCTTAAACCGTAAACCCTGTCCAGTCCGCGGGTCCCGATGCTCTGCGATGCTGATGTGCGAGAGGTCGACATCACGGAAGAGCCTTGGCATGAACTCGCAATGGGGGCGACAAGCATCATGTAATGTAGGGGCCGTACTTTATGGTAAGGAGCCTTCCCAGAATAGTAGAGGTAATTACTAAAGCCCCGTTTGTATCATACATCAGAAAGCATCACCAGTTTCTTGACGAACTTGGGCGAAGACAGAACTTGGTGACAGACATAACGTAGGGGCCTTCATAATTAGCATAGGGTTTAGGGCTCCTTTATAGTATAATGAAAACAAGGAACCCCTAAGTAGTATAGGTAGTTATTCAGGCCCCTAAAATCATGTGGACTGCAAAAGCATCGAAGGGACCATCGCACTTGCCGTCAGAGGAAGGAGGGCCCATCGTTGCCAAGCAGGGTTTAGGGTTTATCTGTTTAGGGTTTAGGGTTTGATTAGAGGATTCGAATTCGGTTTGATAATTCTTTCTGGCCTTCCTGAGCTGTTGGAAATCCCGCTGCACTCTTCGCTGTCCTTATGATTTTCCCCGTCGCGTACATAAGGCACCGATTTTCTTGGCATTTGGGCTCTTTCTGTGCCAGCTCTTTCACCGCATGTTGGCGGTGGTGCTTTTCCAAAAAGGCGGTATGACTTGCTGCTGCAGAAGCAGCAGCAGCAGCTGCAATGAGGAGGAGCAGGAGGCGGAGGGGGCAGGGGAAGGCGAGGAGGAAGGAAGAGCAGGAGGTCACTGCAGCGCAAGAAGTGGAAGCAGTGGTTGCCCTCCAGCCCTTACAGTAATTAAGTAGACGCGATAGAAGAAGTCATCATCAGAGCAGGTAGATTGTCGTCTATCTAAGGACTTATATACCCCTTATATGGCCAGGTAGTTCCCATATTAACCCCAATAACCTACAAGGGTCCCTATTGAGGGTCCCTCCTAAAGCCCTTAGAGTCTAGTACCAAAGACCTTCCTTTGTAGCCACGGTGCGGGGATGTGGGGTAGTCATGCCGTGTCCTGGCAGGCCCGGCGAGACATGAAATGAAGGGGCCTAGTGTTGTTTGGGTTTTAGGGTTTAGGTTTAGGGTTTAGGGCCTTTACCACATGGGCCTAAATCATTACCACTACTATTTTTTGGGGGGGTTCCCTATTATAAACAAAACATAATGGGCTCCAAAACCCTATTCTAATTATTAAGGCCCCTATACCCTAAACCCTTAAGTAGCCCTTCTAGAACCCTTTAAGGAACCCTTTAAAGGCCCCTCCAAAACCCCTATTCTAAGTATTAAGGCCCCTATATTGCCGAACCCCAACATGAACTCGGAATCCTTCCTCAACCCTAAACCCTAAACCCTAAACCCTATACCCTAAACCCTAAACCCTAATCCCCGGGACATCAAGATCAGCAGCACTAGGTTCGGTATCAGAACCGTCATGTAGGGGCCTTCATAACTAAAATGGGGTTTTGGGGGGCCTTGAAAGGGTTCCTTAAAGGGTTCTACAAGGGCTACTATAAGGGTTTAGGGTATAGGGGCCTTAATAATTAGAATAGGGTTTTGGGGTATGACGGACAGAAGTGGCGGCCTGGCCTCGCCAGCTTCCAGCCCTCCACGTAAAGCTCCCGCCAAGCTCGGATCCTCGAACATTGCACAAAAAAAAAGGATCCACTGGGCCTAGGGTTGAGGGTTTAGGGCTTAGGGCCTAGGGTTTAGTGCCAGGTTTAGGGTGCTACTGGGCTCGAGTTAACGCACCCTACCTTTGGGGTTCCTCTAAAGGCTCTATGCTGGTTTAGGGTTTAGGGTAATGCACCATCGTTGGGGTTCCTGTTGAGGGTTCTATAAGGGTTTTTAGGGTTTAGGAGCTTGGTTTAAGTAATACCATAATTGTGATCTATGGCTTACTTTGTACGGGAACTTAACTTATATGACTACATTCGTCCACAACAGCCCAGCAGAACGACTCTGTACTGTAAGGGCCTAAAGTTTAGGGCTTAGGGTTCTGCAGGGGTTATCAAAGGCTTCTATTCTTTTCGGGCTCCATAAACCTATCCAAATGCCCAAACAACAAGGTACTGTGAATGGCTGCAGGTACCTGAACCCCGCCTGCTTGGCTACTCCAAGTATATTTGCTTAGATAATGCCGTCTTTGGGGATGCACTACGCGATACTAGTAATACATGCTCTGCGCTCTCTAGGATTATTGTGTTGCCACAACGTCGAATTGCGGACCCGGCTTTGAAACATATTGGCATTGCAGTCACAGTCGTCATCCTCTTCCCGTCCTCGTTCTGGCTTCATCGTGGCAACTTGCGGCCCAATATGGTTATTTCGTGGTAATTGCTGGCTACGATGGCCAGTGCAGCCGATTTTCCGGTCCTGACAACGCCGAACTGCTTGACAACCTACGGGGCAAGACTTTACGGTATCACGCTGCCCAGATTCAGGGGATGACCCCGCCGTGCTGCAAGAAACCAATTCTCCACCTGGTGCAGCTTCACGAATCGCAGATTTCTGTCTGTTTCCCGATCTTGGGCTCCGGCGTACTCGCGGCTGCTGCCAGGATCCATGCCGAAGCATGCTAGATACCAGGCACCTTTCTCGGTGTGACTACAAATATAGTTTAGCAGAATATACGATGATTCTACTATACTGTACTATACTATACTATAATTCCACGCCTACCAGTACCACCCGGTGCCGGGCATTCTCGCAAGACAGGCTGATCGAAAAGCTCCGGCCTAAACCCTGCTCCTGTGGCCCGGTGGTGATTTCAGACCAAATCCACTCCTGCAGGGACGATTACCAAGACAGTCAGGCCCGAACCCCCTGAAAGGATCTAGAAAGTAGAACCCCTAAAAATTGGAGCCCGACACTACTGCCACCGCTTTCTAGATCCTCCCAGGGTTCTGGGAAGGAGGGCTTGAGTTCGAGACACTCTAAACCCGAAACCCCCGGTTTAGGGGTTTAGGCTATATAGGGTTTAGGGTTTAGGGTTTAGGGTTTAGGGTTTAGGGTTTAGGGTTTATATAGGGTTAAGGGTTTA